GAGCCAGAAAGTTAGATCCTGAAATCCAAATTGTAGCATTACTAGGATGTAAGGGTCAAACTGTGACATAGGAAGTTGTTAAAGTAGAGCCCTGTCCCCTGTACACGGCCCCCCCCCCCCGGCGCCTCGCCCACATAAACACACACATAGCTCTGCTGTGTGTTTTTTCAATCCTCACCTAAGGATATGTTTTTATTGATTTTAGAAAGAAAGGAAGGGAAAGAGAGATAGAGAGAAACATCTATGTAAGAGAAACATCAATCAGTTGCCTCCTGTACCCAACCTAGGTGTCTTGACTGGGAATCAAACCCACAACCTTTTGGTGTACAGAACAATACTCCAACTAACTGGGCCACCCAGTCAGGGCTAGCTCTGCTGTTTTAACCCTAGCTTTATGTCCAAGTACACGTAAGACTACTTTCTCCAGGAGAAGAATATATGTATATTGCCAACCAATTGAGGATATTCTGAGGAGAGAAAAGGGTCATTATTAAGAATTATTTCACAAGACAGGTATAGAACCAGCTAGTCTTGGCAAACTGGGATATCTGGTCACCCTGAGTGCGGGTTCCTCCTGCCTGTGACGAGGTCCACCGGTGGGACTTGATAATGGGGTTGAAAAAGGGAGAGAGAGGAGTGGGTGTAGCAACTGTGGGAAAGGTAGGACATGAATGAGACTACAGGGTGTTAGCAGATGGAGGAAAAGTGTGCATGCATGTATGTATATGTGTGTATATTTATCTCTGTGTGTATGTGTGCATATGTGTATGTGTTCTGGGTATAGCTGTATGTGTCTCTGTGTATACTTTGTGTACACATAGGTATATGTGTGTATATGCTTGTGCATGTATCTGTGTGGATGTGTTCTGTGAATGTATATTTAATGTACATGTGTGTATGTGTCTGTGGTTGTCTGTATGCATATGTGCACTTGGTATGTGTGTTTGTGTGGATACGTATGTGTGTTTATGTGTATTTGTGTGCATGTGTACATGTAGGGCTGCTGGGCAAGCTGAGGAAAATCGCACTAGGCCTGATGGCTTTTAGGGGTGGCAGCTGAGGGGCGGAGCTGAAGGGCTGGTGGGTTGCAGTGTCCTGGAGACCACACACTGCTCAGCCTCAGAGCCTCAGCTCCTCCCCTGTGGGATCAGCATCAGTGCTCCTGCCTGGGGGGCAGTGCTCCCTAACAGGCTACGCTCAGGAAGTGGCTGGAGCGGCCCTGGCACAGTGAGTGCTTAATGGAATGCAGTGGCTGCTGTTAATAATCATCATTGTTCTTTTTAAATGTGCTTTGAGCAATATTCGCAATATACATTCTCCACATGTTAAGAGTTTGTGGATTTGTCCAGAGGCGAGTGCTGTGCTTGGTTTGGGGCTGGAAGTGGCCTTGCAGCAGTTCTGCAGGTAGAACCTGCTCAGGTAGAACCAACATGCCGCTCTGTTTTGTAACCGCAGCGCCCCCTCATGGCTGCTCAGTGCATGGAAGGGTGACTTTGAAAGCAGTCCTGCTCTGGCACATTCTATCCGGGCGACTGTGGTGGGTCATCTAATGGCAGAGAACCTCATTTTTACTTTGTAAAAATAGGGATAAAAGGTATCTACTTGGCAGAGTAGATGCTTAAAAAGTACATCCCAGGGTACAGACCTCAGGTTCTCCTCCAGGTGTTCTGGAGGTTTCGCCACCACACAGAGCCCTGGACCCGGGAGTGACACGCCATGCAGACGTGTCTCTGGACCTCGGAGGGGACCCAGCCTGGCAGTGTTATTTCCGGACTATGAAGAGACGACAGGCTAAGAAGCGGTTTGTTACCTGGATTGTCCCCGGAGGACATGCCAAAGGGGTCTCCGTAGCTTTGGTGTCTGGGGGGGACCTCGCTGGGCCCTGGGGGTCTTCGCTTCGAGTGTGATCCGGAGAAAGCCCGTCGCTGCTGCTGTCCTCGTCGAAGGCAAAGGCATCTGCTGACTTGGAGAAGTTCACCTGGTTCCCTGGGGCAGGGAAACCCAACACTGGTCAGAGGCGTGGGCACCTCACAGGGCTTGCTGCACCTGCTCAGTGCGTCACCCCATTAGGACTAGCGTCACCCCTTCAGGACTGTGTGCAGTTCAAGGTAACGGTGAAGGTACTTTCTACATGGTTTCATTTCCATCTATTGACTCAGATGGGAACTTGTGTTTATAAAAGCAGTATGTTTGTCAGGGAAGAATGACTTGCACTATTGGTTAAACCTTATTTTCAGGTTTGTCCACTTCTGAACATTTTCTGTGGGAACCCATATCTTTTGAAATCGAATTGGGGGGGGGATGCTTAAGGAAAGAAAAGGCCCACCTCCCACCCCGCCGGATGCAGCAGGAGGCCACTGGAGCGAGCAGGGAGAATGCCACCTTCCTGTCTCACAATCAGAGACATGACCGAGACGACAGCGTGCCATCTGCATCCTCTTCAAATGTAACCCACAGCACAGCACAGATGCTTAGCAAACTTCCTAACAGGACGAGCTAGGACAGCTACTGAGTTTAAAGTCCGAATGTCAGAATTAGCTGATGTCCCGGGGTGTCCCACCCCACTAGTGCGTATCCGTTTACAGAAGCATAAATGTGTCTCAGAAATGTCGGGGTGATCCTTCCTTGTTTATTATTTGGATTTTCGTTTGACTCCTCATATCTCTGGGTCTATTTTTGGAAATCTCACGGGCTCACACAGGCAGAGCTGCCTCCTCCGCTGCCCACACGTCTCTGCGGGGCACAGGTACATTAGCCTGGGAAGAGGGTCTATCAGACCAGACGGCACTATAGTGACACCCTTACATGTCCCGTATGTCCCCTAATTGCTCAGTTTCATCTGGTTTACTACCCAGCTGCACAGTGCGAAATGGGCCGGGGCCACGTCGCTCATCTGACCCGAGTCCGGGCCAGCTCTTCCAAAGGAATTCGGGTTTATCTGGAAGTTGCCAGCCCGGCCTTCTGCAATCGCGCTGCCGAGAACTTTTGACTCCTGCTCCGCGCAGATAAGGGAGAGGAGCTCTCACCCACAGACGGGAAAGGCAGCGAGGGGCTGGAAGTAATGGAACAAATGTGGCTTGGGGCTTGTCATCGCCACCACGGCTGGCATCTGTCACGGCCCCTCACTCAGACATCCCAGGGTCAAGTCAGGAAAGAGGCCAGACTAGGACAGGGCAGGTGGGAGCCCAGCCCGCCCGGCATGGCGTGGGGTCCATATGCTGCCCCAGGGAGTCGAGGAGCCTTCAGGAGAATCGTTACTGTTTTCCTACGGTTATAAAAGGAAGTTCTACTTATCATTGACATTCACACCGCAGGAAATGGCCACACTAATCCTACGTCCTATGAAGAACTCATCTCTGCTTCTAGATTTAATCCCATACGTACAGCAGGATGTATATGCACAAATTTAAAATGCGTGTCACCCAGACAGGCCTGGGCAAACCATCTGCTCTGAAACTTGCTTTTCTCACCCCACACGTGTCCTGGAGACCCTTGCCTGTGAGCACAGACGTCTTCCTCCATTAGAAATCAGTTTTTGTATCAGCTGCACAGCATCCCATTGTATTAATGGGAACCTTGATTTTTCAACTTTTATTTTCAAAAGTGCACTTTTATAACTATAAAACATTTGAAATAATAGACAAGTACAGAGAATAATATAAAACATCTGTAGGTATCACCTGAAATAAATACATGCTATCATTTTCTCATATTTGCACCGAACAGGGGTATTGCATTGGGTGTTTGATAAACGTCACCTTTTTCTTTGCGCTCAGGGGCCCACTGCCCCCTTTAGAACTCTGATCTCAAACACCTCCCTCTCTCTTTTAAGAGCTCAGAAGTAGCTCCGAGCCTTCCCGTCTTGGCCTCTCCCAGCGAACCCTGCACTCTGCACATGAAGCTGTATTTGTCACTGTCATGTGATGTGAGAAAATGTGTCTACTCCTTTCTCAGGGGCCCATTAGCCTGAGCTCTTTCCAGGAAGGTCCTGCCACTTGCCTCCGGGAATCAGCTTCTAGACATTTCTTCACTTTAGAAACCATGTTTTCTTGGAAATTGCAAATGCTACTTATATTTGTGGAATTAGAGACTTTGAGGGAATTAGCCAAATTGCAAAGTTGTCCAAGTAGTGTCCCCTGTGGGTAGAGATGTTTTGAGAAAGGGGGTGGGGATAGAGAATGGTTTCTCTTCTTAGCCTCCGTCAACCTTACTTTTCAAGTGGAGTGATAGCACGTGATAAGAAGAATAGTTTGTATCAATCATTCACTTGATAGTGCAGCAATAACAAAAACCATCAGCTTTCATTAGGTCATGTGACAGGCCAGTAAGTCAGAGTAGAGGGCACATTTTCTCATCTCTGTTTTGAGGACCTTGCTAGGGCCAGTCTGTCCCAGTGTTTAGAGACCCGCAGACTGGGGCCCAGCCAGCGTCTCTCCTCTCTCTGCACACCTGGCCTGAGGACATCTCCATATTCCACAACATGTTGTACTTGAGTTTTTGCGATTTGAGGGGCCAATGTGACTTCTTGATTGTGAGAATGAAAAGGCGCCAGGTTCTGGGGAGGGTGCTCATGCTGGTTTCATTGGGCCTGGTCTCATGGAGGGGGCCCTGAGTTGCTACCAGTCAACCAGCATGCCCTTTGCATTCTAATATGTACCATTTGGTGACCTCACATTGAGGCACTAGAATGACATGGAAAAGTCTAGAAGTCAAGCATTTGGAATAAAGGAGTCAGTCACCTGTCTCATTTCCCCCAATTCTCCAGTTACTCTCTTCATTTCCAGGCTTCCCACTTTAGGAGAAATTGGGGGAAAGAGAAGCATTCCCAGACACAGTACGGTGGGGAGAAGGCGAGGCATGCGAAGGAGGTTATTCTTGTGTTGCCACGGGACACAGTGGAAATGTCAGGGACGAGACTGGGGAATGCTGGTGGGCAGAGGAAGGAGGGAGCGGTCCAAGACTCCTGGAGGAGGCAGGATTCAGCCGAGCCCGAATGACTGTCAGCTGTGGACAGGCCACGGAAAGGGGGCGGCGGCAATAAAGGGGAGCAAGGAAGGGAAGTGACGGGCGGAGATTCGCGGAGTCCAGTGGGAAGGGGAGGAAGACACTCTCCCAGCCGGGGGAGAGGCTTATTTGGGGACCAGTCCTGGAGAGGCACGGCTTCTACGCGTCTGCTTTACCAAGTGACAGCGATCACTAAAGAGGTTCCTCTGCTTGCACCAGTGAATTCACCGTTAGCACACGCAACCATATGCAGGTACACCTGGATGCAAAACCAGGGTGAAGGCCAAGGCCGCAAATATGGCTCCTGTCTGGTATCTAAAAAGCACGATGTGCCGGCTCGGAATATGCTGACAGACACATGAGGACCACTCGGGCTGTCAGGTCAGGAGACCAGCCATGGCCCCTGCCCATCACCACCCCCAGCTACAGGTGCATGAAGTGGTGATGCCAGGGCAGACCACAAGAGAAAGGGCACAGAGCCCTCACACTACACCCTCAGCTCAGACTCTGCGGATGGAGAAAACCTCGACAGCGGAGGGGCCGAGAGCACAGGACTGGCTGCCCCCCCCACCCCAGACGATGCATGAGGGGCTCGGCATGGTCCATAGGAAGTGGGGCTCTGTAGTCAAACAGACTTAGTTTGTTTCTCGGTTCTACCACTTCAGTGGCAAAGTGACGGTTGGCGGTTATTTGGCCCGGCGGAGCCTCCGTATCCCCATCTATAAAATGGGAATAATAACAATCGTTACCTTTCAGGGTTTTGAGGATGAAAATGACACAGCATGTGTGAAGCACATTGTGCGTTATTTGCATCGTCCCTGCAAGTGCTCAGTAGTTTCTAGCTGCTGTTATTGTTGGTGTGGTTTCTGTGAGGCATCTCTCTTGTCTCAAGTTTACTATCATCGAAACAAGAGAGACCACCCAGGAGGCGGTGTCCCTGTGGTCAGCTTGGCAAGGGTCAGCGTAGCTCCAGGGAGAACTGGCATGTCTGAGTGGATGGTCAGGCTGGGAAGGCAGAGCCAGGCCTTCCCCGGAGCAGGGTGTCGCAGGAAGGGGTGTCACATCACCCCTCTCCTTCCTGGTCAGGCCAGACTCCTGTGGAATGGGACAGAGGTCGGCTTATCTGGCCGCCTCAGGAACAACCAAGTCTATCAGCTTTGTGCCGTGGCCCTGGGCCTCTGCACCAGCCTCCCCCTGCCCAGCTCCCGAGTGCTGTGCACTGCTATTTGTCCCTGGACACACTTGGGACCCGCGATGACAAGGACCTGCTTTGGGAAGCCCTGATATCATCCCCCAGCTATGCCCTCGGGCTGGCTATGGGCGCTGGCCCCTGGTGACTCTTTGCTCTCCCTCCCCCTCTTGGAAGTGATTAGATGAATGAGTCAGTTGTACTTTTCTCCGCATAAACATTTAAAATTCCAAGATTAGAGTGAGATAATGGGAGTCCTAGTTACCTTTCTGCTGGGCCCACGCAGTGGAATGTGAAAATGGGCCCAGCTTCTTATCTACTCGCAAGCTGAGCGGGCACGGCCGGAGCTATTTTAATTCCCGACAGGCCATCTCCTAACCTCCTCCTGGAAGGGGCTCAAGCCAAATCCATTTCCCCAGGGAGCAGGCTGTGACGCGGAGGTAGATAGGGTTTCAATGTGGCTCTTGCCTGAGCTATTTCAATACTGGAGATACCGCGGCTGCAGAAGACGGAGCACAGTACATTGCCCAGCAAAGACAGACCACCTCTCGCTCTGGAAGGGGATCGGGTGCCTTTACTATGGAAATAGAGTCAGTGGATGTTTGAAGGAATAAGGCTTCCTTCCCTCAGTTCCTGGCTACAAATTTGCCGTGAGGTCTCCAGACATATACTGATCCCAGGGCTACATGGATTGGGACAGTTAACTTGCTTTCAAGCACTTGACTGAGCTCTCAGGACTAATTCTCTAGAGACCGAGATCACCGGGAGAATAGAGATCATATAGAGACAGTTA